ATATCATTTTAATTGTCATTATCATTCATTGTAATTATCAATAATGAAGATTATCATTCATTATTTTAATTTTCATCATCAACAAGATTATCATCATCATCATTTTCATCATTAATTATCATTAGCATTATTATCAATAATTATTATTAATTATCAATATCATTGAATATCATTATCATTAATTATCATTTTTCATTATCATTAATTATCATTTTCATCAACAACATTATCCTCGTTATCATCATTATCATTATTATCATTATCTTAAAATATCATTATCATTTTAATTATTTTCATTTTCATTTTCATCACACCATCAATAAATTTATCTCATCGTCATCATCATCATTATCATTCACTGTTTTTGTAATTGATAATTATCATGAACACTGATAATTTGATGTTGACTCTTTCATGTACAAATTATCAAGTATAACATTAATTTATTAATTATAAATATATTCARTAGCTTACCATTGCTGCAGCTTCTGACAATGCTTCTGCCATGTTTTATAAATCAAATATTGTATTGACAAAAGAAAGGAAATCAATTTCATTTGTTGAAATGATATCCATTCCTGCAAACACAAATGTTTCAACATCAAAATTATATTCTTAATACTCCATATTCACTTTAACTGGATTTCATTTCTAATACTATATATAACAATGTCCCATAACTAATTGCTAATCATCCTCACATAACACTGGGAAATTTAAAACAGACTTTCAGTGTATTCATTTTTAAGGAAAACTAAATCATGGCTGCATGTACTGAATTAAAACTGTTAATCCCTGCACAGTAAAACAACACTGGGGTGGGGATTTGAAATTGAAAAATTATGTGGCCCCTTCCTGACAAGAAAATTTAAATCAGGTGTTTCTCCATGTTTCTTTATAACTAAAAAAAGTAATTCTTATTCAAGTAAGAATACTAGCTAACTAACCTAAGTTCAGACATTTTCATTGCAATACTATCTAATAGTGAGTCTTTAAAAAATTCACTTTTAGGGGAGCATTTATTTATTTTAGAATGGGCAGCCGGGGAGGAGAAGGGGCAGACAGAATCCACATTAAACTTTTATGATAGAAAAATCATAAACCCTAATCCCAGCTTTAATAAATTGATATGAATAAATATATATATTGTGATCCTAATAGCCCATTAGTAATGTCATTCTTCTTCAGTGAGACATTGCTTTGATTGAATTAATACTTACAGATGGCCCTCTACTTCTTTGCCTGACCCCTTACTCTAATTCCTTTGGTCCTCCCAACTCCTAAGGAATGAATACTGCCTAAAACATCACTGTTTAACCCCCGGATGGTCTAATAGACCTCAAGAACTCAATGGATAATTTTATTAATTAGCCAGACAATCAGAAAACTGACTTTCTGGTCTCCCAAATGGAAGTAAGATAGAAATATCTGCACACACTGGGTAATAATTATAAAGCGAGTAGCATTAATTATAGGATAAGAAAAATTAAGACATATTTCATATGGTGACTGGAGGTTCGCTCCACATGTGCACCAACTACGTAGTTGCATACAAGTTAAGGCTGCCAATCTAGGTGCCGGCGTCATCAGACAAAAGCTAGAACTTCAGTATTAAATGTTGTTAATGATGTTGCTTGCATGCAATGGCTACTTATTTGACTGAGTTGTTGCTTTGTTTGATTAAGCTTTTTTATTATTGAATATCTGGTATTAATTTTTTCTTATTTATTTATTCTNATGGGCATGGGGGAGGAGAAAGGGCAGACAGAATTCACATACTTAAACTTTTATGATAGAAAAATCATAAACCCTAATCCCAGCTTTAATAAATTAATATAAATATATATATATATGCTTCAAGAGTGAAGGTTTTTCTTCACAGTTTTCAAAATGCAAACCAACGGTTCTTTTTTCTCTTTGTCTGCCGACACTCACTAAATATGTTTTGTCTTTTGGCAAGTCAATTGCAAATTATGCGTCTCACTTTCTGGTTTGACGTCAAATAACTTGGTGTGTCTAAAAAAAATATTTGCAACCTTTCTATAGCTATACATTAAAAATTAAGTTATAACACACACAACATTCAACTCACATGTTGATTTTTTATTCATTGTCAAAGTGGATGGAAAAACAAATTTTAAATGTCTGACTGAGGTCAACTGATAAACAATCATTGGAGGCAGAGGTATGTTAGAAATGAACGCAATAATGTAAAAAAACCTTAAGGAAAAGGGTGGTGGGGGAGGGGGTTTCATGGCTTACTATCTTCCAGGGGGTGAGAAATTAAGTGGAAGCCAGGAGGGAAGAAGAAAAATCGTGGCATCTTTCATCTTATCTACAGTTATAAATGTGGACAGCTCCTATTTATTAATGTGAGTTCAATAGCTTCCTAATATGATGTTTCTGTGACAGGTGTAAGCCTAGTGCAAATATAACTGAACTCGACTACTAGCAAAATACATTATGGGTGTAATTAAACCAATGCAATAATTCTTAAACAGTAGAAAATTATAACCTCAGGTACTTAAAGCATAAGGGATTAATCCTAATTAAATTGGGTTGGGATGAATGGTGATATGGATTCCAAAGGGAGGGGGCAGCATTTTTTGTTTTTTTGTTTGTTTGTTTGTTTGTTCGTTTGTGTATTTGTTTGTTTGTTTGTTGTTTTTTCAACCAAAGCTAAGGGGGAAACAATCAATTTGACAATAACTATATATTTCAGCAATTCTAGCAAGGGGGCACAAATTTTAGGTTCAAAGGGATTCATGCAATAAAACTAAAGTTGTTTCAACTTGGTGACTATGTAAGGTACATAGGGGCCACATAGTCTCCCAACCAATCAATTATTGGGTGCAAATAATGGTGGTCTTTATTATGGTAGCCCATCTCCTAATAAATGGCGTTCAACATGACTTGTAGATCTTGTATATGGTATCCCAAAAAAAACGCTTAAAAATAATGATTTCCAAATGCAAATCTTTTTTTTTTTTAATTTTTCAATTAAGTTTTCTTTRCCATTTAAAAATTTTTGTACAAAACTGGGAAATAATCCATTAAAGAAAGACGCCATTACAGCGAAATTTATCTGTGGAGTCAAGATTGTTTGTTAATTGACTTTTTTCCAAGTTTAGAGACGGATACATTTTTTTCTTGAAATGGGGCTAACTCTATCCCACTTCATAAACTAAATACTTATGCTGATATTAAGATAAAAACGAATTCAAAGTTGAAGACAACTTACTTGATTTGGAGACATTGAAGAGTCAGAAGTGACCGGCACCTAATGCTTCGTCTATTTTCCAAACAGAAACCACWTATATTTTAACGATGATCCTCTTTCTTAGGATCTTATATTACCACTCTMATGTTTTAACCATACTTAGACTCTATAAGAGAGCAAATCGCTGTATATATTCTACATACTWAAGGCTTAAAAACCCCCCTCAAAAAAAAAAATTTCTTCTCGCTGCAATTTCCAAGAAATCTCTAAAAATGTCAAACTTTTGTACTTGGGGGGCTCTCAAAGTAAGCAATTTTTTTAAATAACGTATTAAATAGATCGTATGGTTTTTTTAATCTTCTTTCTGTTCGTTTTACTCTAGGTTGTCATTAAAAGTGTTACTGGTCTGTATTTTCTGATAAAAGTCAAAAAAGATAAAGATATCGGGGTAMAAATCATGATCGTCTTATCCCTTCCCTCATTGCGTTTTTTATGCCCRGTGGCCCTCGTTTTCATGGGTTGTGAGCTAGACAAAACGTATATATCCAAAAATAGAAATCGAAAGCGGAAGAAATATCCTTTCTCTCTCCGTCGAAGCATTTTAATCAAAATTCCCCATGACGTCACATCTTGTTTATGAGGAGGGCAGAATGGTAAATAACAATAAGAATTTGGACTAATTGAGCTGAATTGATATCTCTGATACAGTCAACTACGGGCATTAACGTTGTCCACCAAAAAAGACATTAAAAAATTTACACATTTACACTTTACACATTCAGACTAAAAGAAATATCACGTGTTTCCTCGAAGGGTCTGGCATAAAACAAACGCTGAAATACCATTCTCCATCTTAAATCCTCACTAAATGGTCGGGGCATTCTGGATTTTCGATTCACGAGTTGAATTTTACATTTAAAGTTCAGGCTGACGCACACGAGGCAAAGAATACATAATGAAACACGTGATATGTCTTTTAGTCTAAATGTGTAAATGTGTAAATGTAACATTTTATATACCGATGTCTACCCAACAAGTAGAAATGTACAGTGCCATTTTTCCCGCTGGCAAATATTATCAATTAAGACTTTGCGATTTTACTAATATCAGGTCACATGCAATTTGCCTGATTCAGCTGATTCAAAATTCAATCGGCATAATGTTCACACACTTATTTTCCCCTCTGGATGTTTTTTTTTTTTTTCTTTTCTTTCATATTTACTAACTGCTTCAGGGACTTTTGCAAAATGTCACATAATTGTAAGCCAACATTTTACAGCTTAGTCAGCAAATCACTGAGCTTTTTGATTTTTGTACTCATTTTCGTAATTATTAACCGCTGGCAGAAGTAAATGTGGACTTAATATATAGTTCAAGTTCAAGTTCAAGTTTATTCAATAAATGAATGAATGAATGACTTTATTTATACACACACATCACAAGAGAAATAGCATATTAGTGACATAACTAGAATCATAAATAGAAACAAACATTTTACAGTAAGTATTTACAAATATAGTGTAGATAAAGTAAAATGAACATTGAAAATATACACCACTGACCTGCAAATAGTAAGGCATATAGGATTTTCACTACAGCGCTGTTTCACTCTCTCCTCAGGTGAAGTGGTCTTTTATACAAACTTGTCGRTCTTATGGACGAATACATATATATACACTTATATACACTATTTCAATAAAGTTAGTCACCTGTAAAGCTACAGAGTTGAGACCGACAAGGATTATGGATAGATACATTTTACATGTTTCAACCGCTTGATAACTGTGGATGGACTTGAGATCTTCTACCAGTTAAAAGTTAACCTCCTCTGAGCATCCTCACTGAACTGCTGCAGTTTGTGTCAAAAGCATTACTTGTTGGATATATAACATTTCCCCATGATTCTCAGAGATCTCAGCTTTCTAGGTTTTTGGTGACTAACTTTATTGAAATAAGTATATATACCCAAGTGCATTGTTCACGTTTATAACCAATACGAATTTGCTATACATACATACAGTGCTTTCCATAATAAATTTTCATCTGTGAACGATTTTCGCTCAAAGTCACATAATTTCAGTAATGTTTAAGAAGTAGTCAACACTCTCAGTGTGCGTCCATTGACTTAAATATGGATGCATGCAGGAGGCTATTGAGCATTGGAGAAGGATATAAAGATTGCCATGAGGCTATTAGTTCAGTGTGACTATAGTTTCTTAAGTGTTTAATAGCCAACAATAATACATCTATAATTCTATAACATTTATAATTGATGCGACTTTAAGTGGTTTATCACAGTTCAGTTGAGTGCCCGTGCTAAAAAGAAAAAATAATCGAGGGCCACAAGTTAATCAGTTAACAAAATTACTCTCACGTGTCATCCTCATGAAATAAAGTCTTCAATCAGTCAATTAAAAAAAACATATCCTGAGGTATGGAGAAATGCTATTAGCTATAGCAGAATCTTTGATAGGATCGACATATGATATCCATTCCTTCTCAAAAGGATCTAATCAACCCTATCTATTTTGGTCGACCATTCAATAAGTATTGGATGTATTCATCCCCCGGGGGGAGGGAGGGGGGGACTCCTTTATATCACGAGAAGGCGGGGGTGCTCGTCGTACCTTTTAAGGGTCAACATCAGCGATCTGGT